GGCAAAGCTTATGGCGAAGCACCGCAAGGTCCGAGTCGACAATTCCCAGTGCAAAGAGATGGCAGCAATTGCCGCCTATGCTTGCTTTTTCTGCCGCGAGAAGACGGAGGACCGGAACACCCTCAAGTGCTGTGCCGGGTGTAAAGGAGTGTGGTACTGCTCGAAGTGGGTTATTCATCAGAGCTCAACTCATGCCAGCACCGACCGCGCCGTGTAGAGAGTGTCAAAGAGCGGACTGGAAAAACCACAAGAAATATTGCGGTAAACGTCGCTTTGATCCCAAGAACCTCGCTCCCGAGGTGGAGGAACCGGGGTTCATCGGCTGCCCTGTGGCGGTGTCAGGCTTCGTCCGCTCGCCGGCTTTATGGCGGCAGATTGGGTACCTCGCCAAACCGGATTCGCAGAGGCGGGACTATCACGTATGTGCCTAATACCCTATATGATGCTTCCTGTTGGATTATATCACTGACTGACCATAGTTCATGCCCGATATGAACGTGAGCCGCACACGCTCGGTTCGTATCCTTTCCCCTCGCGGTAGGTGACCAATCATCTGCATTCTGCTGTGTTACTAGGCTTGACGATGCGATCTCCAGCGAGAATGTATTTCCTCGTCGCCCGCCGCCGCGCCCTAGCCTCTGGCTCCATTCCTGCAATCTACAAGATGCTCGAGATCATCAAATCGCAAATCGAGCACTGCAACCTCACGATCGAGCAAGTGCAGCGCCACTTTGAACACGAATATGGTATCAAAATGGACGCTACCCCTACTGCGATTTTATCCGCCGTAAAGGAATTTGAGGAGCCGACGAAGCAGGAGCTTGAAGAGGAGGGGTTGTTCGATGCGCAGCGGGAAGCTAGCGTCCCGGTTCGGCCGGAAGAGCTTGAGGAGGTGCCATTTATGACATATATCCAAAGGCAGATCGAACAGTGGTCAGTTAAAGTCGGTCTCTGACTGGTGGAGAGCACCCAGTGAATCAAGTTCACAGTAACCCTAGGAGTTTCGCTTAATCAATCCCTGTTGAGACACTAATCACGGATTTAATCAGAGATTAATTAATCAGTGATCTGAACCCCAGTGCAAGTGGATAGAAAAAAGAACTACACTGCTGGGAATCGAACTCACGTCAGGCAGGGAATATCTAGCCATGACTACCACTCTGCCATCCAAGCCATAACTAGATATCATAATCATAGTGGTAGGAGGGCATGCTAGATTTCAGGAATTCTATTGCAATCTTCCTCTTGTAAATTCAGATCAGTTGAATTCACAAAGATATGAAGTGTTTAAACTGCTTTAAACCAGTTGAATAACCTGAACCAATAAAGTTGGATTAATGGTCAGATGAATCCTAGAAGATTAATAACACCTCAGATTAAAGGTCTACCTGAACTTGGAGAAAGATTAACAGACTAGGATAGGAGATCAATAAAGTCATTGACTACACAACAATGATGAATCACGGATGAAAAGATTAATGTTTAATCGGCCCAACATTAATAATAAAAGGTAGAACTAAGATGAAATTGATGGGGTGGTGAATAATAACAAACTCCAACAGGCAGAAGATAGAGACGCAGGTGTACACATGTCATACCACAATTTAATCCTCAAGTTATGGTCTCCTTGGGGCAGTTGGTAACACGGCCCGCGTTCATGTCCTATTTTCCCGAGGCTCTGTGTTCGATCCTTGCAAGTCCCGTCCTTTTTGTTGGGTGAACCACGATTAATCTCTGTTTAATCCCTCCAGCGGATTAATTCATCACTGATTTAATCCAGGATTAGTGTCTCAACCGGGATTGATTAAGCGAAACTCCTGGGGCTTTATAAGTTCAGACGATCGCTCGGAGCAATTCATAGGTCTCCGTACATTCCGCTCAGTGTCGTACTATTTTGAATTTCGACGTCCACGTCCAAAGACCACGGTAGTGATACAGGTCTTTAAACACGTATTCTACCTAGGGAGGAGTCTTGACTTCCAGAGCCTGGTGAAAACAGTACGAGGCGGGATCCGGAGTTCGGAAGTTGGAAACCCTTTGAAGGATTTCCTCAGCGGACCCAGGTAAGTACACATATATGCTACACATCAATCTACTAGTCTGCGGACCCGCGTATGTCGAGAGTTGAAGGAATTCACTGCTGCCACAGGAAACTGCAAGTAGTGCAGAAATTGAGCTTGTACAACACAGACACGGCAAGTGAAAATGTGAAAACACCCAAAGCAATGCGGTGAAGATGAGCCCAGTTGTTTCATGGCTTCAAAGTCCCAGTTTGACGGGTATTTCTCTGCGAGTTGCTTCAGATCTGTGCTATAGGCTCTTGTGGCTGTTGGAATTTCTATAATGGTCTTCTGCACTGCATCCAGGACCCTCTCGGAGTCGTGTTCAAACGAAAATCGCGACGTCCGAAATCAAACACCAAAAATCAAAATCCGCCGCGACCGTGACCTTCTCGCCGCCGACCGTAATGTGAGGACACACGTGAATATGGGAGAAAAAAAGAGCACGTCGAACACGCATTCGGGTGCCGGGAGTCGAACCCGGACGTGCAGTCAACAGTAGAACTCGGAGGATATGAAATACTGCCGTGCGGCGTGCACCCCGGACTACACCCGCCAGAGCGTTTGGGCCGAGATGGCCGAGATCCAGATGACCAACCCAGACGCAAGGCAGCGACTGCACGAAACGAAAATTAAATGCAGGACACTGAGGATAGAAGACGCAAATTGATGTTGACACTGAAGTGTTCGAAGTGACCCAAGGTCCCCGTGAAAAGAAACCGGCAGTGGAAATTGGGATTCAGGTGCCGGAACCTGGACCTGCAATATCAATGCGGTGTGAACGGTCATAGCACGAGATACTACCGTGCATCCCGCACCACACCCGATGTATGGAGGTGTAAGGAGTATGCACCAGTGTTGCATGATTTTCAACGCTCCCAGGTGTATTTCTGTGGGTTGGAGATGACCAACTCAAGTCCATTTCACGAAAAAAAAAGGTGAGGCTGCATGAATGCAGGACAAACAGGACTCGAAACTACGAAACAGGGTAACTCTAAGTGCAGCTCGAGGAGGCGCACACACCCAAGAAAGAAAGAAAAAAAAAGACGGCGAGCGAAAAGTCAGTCGAACCTAGATCTGGAGACCAATTCAATTTAATCGTTCAGGCGGATGGAGAGCCTGACGTGCACCGCGGATCACACCCGATGTATGGAGGCGTAAGCAGTATAGTGTATGCCCTGGTCTGGGATGATATTTTGATTGTAACTTTCGTGTGTAGACTCGAACCAGTCGCTATTTGGGATGGGGGCGTGAGTTGATGATAGTCGATCAACACGGGTGTGAAATAGCGACTGGAAGATAATCAGCTGTTTTAGTACAGTCGGGAGATGCCGAGATTATTAAAAAACTTAGAGAAATTTTGACGGTGTGAAAGGACAAAGTTCCTTGTTTGAAAAACTGTAAGAGGGAAAGTTGTAGTGCTTGAAATTCTAAGACGCACACCGTGCTGCGAATCCGTATATTTTGAGAACTAATGTCTTGGTGACTGAATTGATTTCAGCACCTGAGATAGGGGTAGGTGCACAAATCCAAGATTTTTGAGTTCGGACCTCACTCTTACTGCAAATTCAAGCACCCCAAGTAATTAGAACTATGTTCCGTTATACTTTCTCTCTCTGAATACCATTTTCTATGTGCATTGGCACCAAATGAAGGCCAGGAAAGAGCCTTTCTAGCTGTTTTTGCAGTTCTTGGGTCTCGGAAAAGTTTGATTTTGCTGTCAGAGTGACATGATCTGTTTCGAGTACACCTGTGTGTTTGAAGGGAGATCTGAGGACGGGACGACGTGAACGAAGGTGAACTGAATGCGGAGAGCACAGCCACATGATGGCCTGCAGTAATCGCGTTGTGGAGAGCTTAATTTTGTTTGAATAGAAATTCGGAGAACGGTGAGCATCTTAAAATTCCATGCACTATAACTTTCTCTCTCGCAGTTTTTGAAAGGAGGAACTTTGTCCTTTCACAATCGTCAAAATTTCTCTAAGTTTTTTAATAATCTCGGCATCTCCCGACTGTACTAAAACAGCTGATTATCTTCCAGTCCCTATCCATCACTGATCGAACGACTGTCTTTGATCTTTGTGGCACTTGGATAGGTACTGGTTCGAGTCTATTTCGTGTGTCGGATCGCCGAGAGTTAGATTGAGGAACCAACTCAAACACGGGTACGAAACAAAATTAAATGAACGACAGTGAGGGGCCACTGTGAATTACGCCCACACTCGAGTTCGAGGTGGAATGAAACAGGCGCCGAAAAAAAGAGCACAAAGCCAGAATGCGAGTGCCGGGAGTCGAACCCAGATGTGCAAACTACATCCTGTAGTTGGGTGCTATAACAAGAAATTGCCGCGCACCGCACGCCACACCCAATTCCAAGACTCTGAATTTGACTCAGAATATCCGCACCGATACCTGTATGAGTGCGCTCATTCAGAGAGGGCAGCCGATTGAGAGTCCAATCGGAATTTGTCGGGCCAACTGCGAACCAATCTACTAAGTTATCACAATTCGGGTTATCATAGATACAAGTTCGTCATCAGTGTATCGGTTCTGTAGCAAAGACTAAATTTGGGTCAAGTTGGGAGCGGAAAATCCACCGTAGGCCCTCTTTCTAAAGCAAGTCGAACCCGGATGTGGAGCTTGCAACAGCTCCGACATGACTCATGAAATCCTGCCGTGCACCCCGCACCACACCCGATTTATGAAAGCATACTTGCAGTGTTTTGGATTTTGGATGTAGGTGTATAGATAAGATACCTTGGGAACTTGCCCGAGATGACCGAGATCTAAAGGGCCAACTCAAATGCAAAAACTACACGCGTACGAATCAAAACATCAAATACGTGACTGTGAGGAGACGTTGAATTACACTGAGGTTCAAATTCAGGGTCGGACGAGGCCGATGGCCCCGAAAAAAAAGACACACTTCGAAGCTCCGTCGTCGGGCGCCGGGATTCGAACCCGGACCTGCAACTTGCATTCTCTATCGGGTCGGTATACGAGAAATCGCCGCGCTCCGTGCGCCACACCCGATTGAAAAACTCCAGTTCGAGTGTCCTATGCCTCAGAGTACTTATCCGCACCCGATATACTTACACCCGCAGGCATTTGCAGACAGCTGCCACTTGAACAAGGCTCGAGTTGCGATTTGGCAGAATGTCGCAAAAGGGCTTTGTCAGAGATAAGTCCGTATAAGAAACTATAAGGCATGATAAGTCTGTAAGTTTTTTTGGGGGTCTATAGAGCTCAGAAAGGCGCTATCCTCGGTTATAAGTACTTACGAAACTTATAGGACTTATAAGCCCTTAAGCCCGGTTAGTGGAGCTTATAACTCCCTATGGTATACCTCCTTGCCGAGGACCATTGCAGCGAATCTTTCCTAACTTGTTGATGGATTCACAGCACTTGTTTTGAGAGAGAAGCGTACATTCAGATTCTAAGCTACAGGTACAAGAGAGTAATGTAAATGGGTACGCTAGTGGAGATGCATTGGTAGGTAGGCGAGTGCTCGGGGATACGTACGTTGGCAGGGATACGGTGATGTTCCCTGAGGAATATCGGCATCCGATGTTGTGTGGAGGAGTAATGGGCAAGACGGATGGGCGACAGGAAGAGAGGAACAGAGGGAAAAGGAAATGAAAAGGCTCACCACATTAGTTTTGGCACATTGCGGCAAGCGCGTGTACACGGGGACTCCGACGCTTAAAACATAGCCACACCGTGACGTAGTTGTTCTATTGCAATAGGTCAGACAGCTGCAGAAAAGCGGAGAGTAGTGACACACCAGCGCTTCTAGCGATACAGTTTGGGAGTTGGGGTACGGGCAATTGGGAGGGCAGTGTATGGTGGACCTTGGTGGTTGGAAGCAAGCGAGGTGGAGTCACGGAGTCACATTGGCTGATTTATATCTCTGGCGGTAACATGACATCACTTTACTCCACAACACTTCCTCCGGGCTCCCGCTCTCTTTGGCGCTCTCCTCAGACTCCTGTAATATGACTCGGATACCACTCACATCTCTGATTCTAAGCCAGAGAGACTCAGAGAGAATTTGAAGCAGCTCAACTGCGGCACGCGCTCGCCAAACCCGCATCACGGACAAGCAGGTCCTCTGCGCGCCGTCGATGGAAAAATGCTTGTAAATACAGTAAGAAGTGAATTTGAGGAGCTTGTTGAGAGCACCGAGAATAGGAAATGTCTTCTTGAATCTTCTAAAAGTCATTACCCTTTGCTTCGAATGGATGTCATGGTTGAGAATATTCATTGGAGTGATATACAAGTAAATACTATGTCATCGTCGTCTCTATTGGACTGTTTCTGGTGAAACAAAGAGGACCACACCTTCTATTTTATATAGTTAGATGTAATGGATTATTTTTGTCGCAAAATAACGCGAATTAGCGCGGGGGAGGCCAGACCCTTATTCTCCCTTATAACTGCTTACACTCTGGTTGTAACGCGATTATGGTGGTTCTGTAAGCACCTATAAGGGAGCTATAAGCCTGTAATCCTTCGTAACCCCTTATAGTCGCCCAGGCCCTTTTGCGACATTTGCATTCATTGGGCCAGTTGGAGACCCTGCGAGCTTACGGTACTTATTATCAAGTATAAACCAAACGAGGAATCCCTGTACCCCTCCGGCAAATAAAAAGAGGTTATGTACGAAAAACCACGCATTCGGGTGCCGGGAGTCGAACCCGGATTTGCAACCTACATCTTAATTTGACTGCGGATTATTACAAGTTGCCGCGCACCGCGCGCCACACCCGATTGAATCTTGGGTGTACGTGCGGCGCCCTGTACAGCCAGTTCAAGTGAACTTTCTTTTTTTATTCAGATAGGTCCGTACGTGCGTATGTAGCTCTGCGACGTGGGCGGATTCAAGTTCCAACCGAGATTGTACCTGGCTGCAGACAATTTTGGTTTTCTATGGATTCTATACCTACTCTATTCCGCTGCATCCGAGCGTAAGAATCCAAACGCAACAGTCATAGCGCGCCTTTAGTTCTTCCACCTGTGGAATCGGTATAAACCGGATCCATAGGATACAGAGCTTGTTGCAGAGCCGGAAGCGGTCGCGGTACTACTCCGAAGCTTTAAGGGCGGTTCGAACCCCTTGCCATCCTTGACCATTGTGGACACGTTACGTCCTTTTTTTAAATTCAGAAAGGAAGAAACACCTCGGGAATATGGATCGGCGTGGTTCTTTCACGAAATATCGAGTCCACTCAGCTTTGTATGTTTTGCTCGTATTGTATTTAGGAGAGTTTCAATTGATTGAGGTCCGGGGTCCGCCGCGGAATCAAGCGTGGGGCACTGCTCCAAAATAATTCCTTTTAGGCCAGTCGAGTTCTTCTGGATGTGGAGCCAACTTAGGTGTATCAACAGGGTCTGAGGGACACGGACATATGCAGTGCACTATGAAAAGTAGGTCGCAGTATTTATCCAAAGCCTGAGGGCGGTTCGAATCCCCCTAGATCCACTCCGCTGGGTCCTGCATTTTTTTTTCGCTCGGCCCACCAATCACCTCGAGGTCCAGAACACCGTCAGTACGCTCAAATCCCTTGCGAGACCACGAAAATCACGTCCAATTCTATGCGAATCGCACAACTTTTGAGAGAGCAGTAGGAGACGCGTCCGATGCCATCACCATGTCGGAAAAAAGCCATTCAGCTTGCAACGGCATGGTCCGGCATGTGACCTTGGGACGGCTTTGGAGTGCTTCCTAGGTGTGGCAGAGGGACTTGGAACCAGTCTCAAGCTGTTTGAAGGCTTTGTGTGAGTTCCAAGCTGTCCCAAGCTGTCCCAAGGTACACATATATTTTTGGGGGTCAGAAAATACTTTAGGTCAATTCTCCGTGCCTCAGAGGAGTGATTTAACTTGATAAACATACTGTGGTTGTTCAACCACTCTTGTTCTCGAGATCTAGCAGCTGTGGAGCCCGTGTGAAAAGCCTTCAGCAGGGCTCCACCAGGGACCCGGACCAAGGTACATAACTCTGTTGATGACCCCTGGATATTTTCCTACTTGTGTATACGTGCTTTACACATTGCTGAAAATCAGTTGAGGAGTGACCCCTCATCCTTGCTTACTTACTTGTACAAGTCATTGATTACTTGCCAACAATGACTACTACAATAACTGTGACTGCAAAGAACCATTGCTCGTGGAGAAGAATGGGAGCATATACATTTTTGTTACTTTCCGAGAATTATCTCAGAAGGCTTTAGAACCATTGACGTGACTTGGAAGTGGTTGGAGGATTCTGAACTGTGTGTTGGAAGCCAGCTAAAGCCATTTGGCCATGCAATGGCTTGGAACGCGTTCAATGCCAATCAAAGCCAAATAGGATTTTTCCGACACACGTGATTGTTCCTCCTCCTTCCCTTCTCCCACCTTGGAATTTCTTGCCACCTTCGCGCACGATCGCGAAAATCCACCGAAATTCTGCGCGCACCTCGACGTCCATACCCGACTACTTGTGACACTAGTGGTGAGTTACTTGAAGGAGGAGGCAGTTTGCTGACGTGGGTTGCCGGTGGCATAATCTGGCATTGCAGATACGATAACACGCGCGGATCTTTGCATTACTGATATAACGACGAAAGCACACGATGGACTCTGACGAGGACGCGGATCTGGCGCTTGCGCTCGCGTTGAGTCCGCAGGAGGCGGAAGCGGAGGCAGCGGCGCGGAAGGGGTACACGAGCAATAAGAAGGCGAAAGCGACGACGAAGAAGCAAGAGGTTGGTGATCAGCAGCGATGAGGACGAGGACGAGATCGTGGAGGCGTCGAAGCCGCGCGCGGGGGAACTTAGCAAGCTCAAGGAGGAGGCAGTAATTTCAAAGGCAGGCGCAGGCCCTCTCTCGTTTCTCGGGGACCGGGCGCAGATGGAACGCGAGCGGCTCGCGCGACAAAAGCGCGTCTGCGGGCCGTCTCCGCCGCCCAAGTCGCGCTCTAACTCCAGTGCCAATTCCAACCAAGACGACGAGGACGACGAGAGTGACAGCGAGGGCAGCGCGCGGAAGTGGGTGCGGCTCAATCCCCCTTCTCATAATCCCACTACAACGGCGCGCACATTCCCCACCGGCGCCCTCCTCCGCATCGACACCCAGCACGCCGATTCTTCTATCCCTAACAAACCTGACTGCATACGCTTGAGCGAGGTACTAGGCCCCAAGGACGAGCAGAGCTTCGCCATTCTCAGCGCGTTCAACGCCGACGCGCCGTGGTTGTATGGTTTCTTCGCGAGGGACACGCCCGTGGTGCCGGTGACGGACGTGAACACGTCTGGCACGGGGGCCGAGCTGGGCGATGAGTGAGCGGCCTCATATTATCCATCTTTTGTTTTCTACTTTAATTGACGCGCACTTGCAGCCCCACGCAGAAAAACATCTTCCCCAGCTGGGTGCGCGTCTGCCCCCTCCCCACCGCTCGCGGGGGCTACAGCGGGTGCATGCACATGAAGTTTATGCTGCGCTTCAAGAAGAGCGGCGCGCTGCGCGTCGTGGTGAGCAGCCCTGTACCTGTAATAATATTTTCTTTGGAGCTGACGCACCCTACAGTACCTCTTCATCCAAGACATCCCGCCCGCCGCACCAGGGACCCGCACCACCCCACCCGCGGGCGTAGGCGAGAAACCCGGGGAGACCTTCCCCGCGATACTGGCGCGCGTGTTGCGCAGCGTGGGCGTGGAGGAGGCGCTGGCGATTATGGGAAGGCAGGGGGTAAGTGTTTTTCTTCTTTTTATTTCACACTGCGTCCATTCATTCCCTCGAGCACTACACCTTTACTCCACTTCACTCTCGTGGGTGCCTTTACCTTCACGCTCCTTCCCTCCAACTTCCTTCCGCGCCCCTTCCATCGTCCCTCTTGCATTTTGACGTTTTGCCTACGACCCCCACGTCCCCACCCCTTTCTCGTTCCGCCCTTTTGTCCCTCTCACACGCTTGCATACTAATCTCCTCACAGCACACCACCCTTCCCCTCCCCATCCTCCTCCCCTCCGCCCTCCACAGCTCCTTCCCCGCC